AAAAATAAAAAGTGGGCCAAATCCAGTTCAAAGGAAGAAGCAAGCTGGTTGTAAATAGCAGTATATGGCATAGGTAACAAAAGTACTCAAAATAATCCAGGCAGGGTCAACAAACTTCTAATCCAAGATTTTGATCATTCCTCTGATCATATCCCTCCAGTAATGTATCCTTCAAAATCCCCCAAAGTCATAAATAAACATTAAGATTTTTGTACTTCCCATCATTCCAAAGCAAATTACATAACAATTTTATGCATACAACAAAAATTATCAAATAACTAAAAAACTAGTAGACCTAAGATTTATTTAAAACATTTAATGGCCAGACTGCAAAGTTAATTGCATGGGTTTTGACCAAAATTGGCTTTAAACTTCCTCCTTTTATACAGTGGTTTCTCTGAAAAACAAGTGATTCTAAGAGGACATACAGACTAGACATAAACTCTGAATATGTATAAAACTTTTTTATGTGAGAAGATTATATACTTAAAAGTTGAAAGCCAAAAAATATTTAAATATTTAAAAAAACTAAATTTAGCATCATTGTATTTCCTGAATCTCAACAGAATATAAAGTTGTGCTTACACTGAATTCATGGTTCAAAATTGGTTTTCAGTGTCTTTTCTCTACCAAAATGAAGTCCATTATACTTTGTGTAGGAAGGATACTTACCGCTATAATATCTAATGTATTATCACAGACCTTCCGGATTTCATTATTTTTATCATGCATCAGGTCTATGAGATATGCTGGAGCCTCTGAATAAAAATGGTTAAAGATACAAACTGCATTTGGTATTGTGGCACTTCAATCATTTTAAAAAATCCCACATTTTTCAAAATTCAAATGCTAAATTAAAATTTAGCTTTAAATTTTAAAATAAAATCATTAATACAAGATGACCAAAAACATTTACTATTTCATTTTCTGAAAAACAAAAACAGTAGAGACGTAAAACTGGAAAATCTGGTAAAAATGGACAAACCCCCCAAATCAGTAAACAACCATATTTTTGAAAACATGAAAATACCTGAAGGAGCTCTAGAATCGTGTAGCTACAAAATCCTATCCTGCCCTCTTTAAAGCCCACAAAAATTAATTTCAAACAAAAATTTCTTTTCAACAGAAAAGAATCACAGTCAAATCCCATATTTCACTATTCTTGTTTAGCACAGCACCCCCCCAAGTCTACTATGATTATAATAAGGGGGAAAGGGAGAAAACATAAGACATTTTCACATATGAGAAAGCTGCAACCTAATATTTCATGAGATAAAATAATTAAAAATAATCTATGTAAGCAAACAACACAAATCAGGATTAGAAAACTCAGAAAAATAAAATAATTCAGATAAGAATCAAATATAAATGTAAAAATCATTGAAACACATAAAAACTAAACACAAGAGTTAATAAATATGCCATATAAACCCTAAGAGAAATAGAAGGCAAAAAGAAAGAAAACAGATAAAATTAAAAAGTAATTGAAAAGAGGTGAAAAGATTAGAAACTGACAAATATTAAATATTAATATTAAATATTAAGGGTACAAAAGAAAAGAAAATTCAACATAATAGAAATCCCCTCCAGAAAAACCCTAAAGTATTAGAATAAGACAAAAGACTATAATTCATTAAAATTCTCTTAAAATAAAATGACTTAAAATTATATATGGAAAGAATACATTTGTATATTTGGAACAATTAATGACGGATAATATCGAAAGTCAAACTCTAGTAAAATAACTTCAAGTTAAAGAAAAAGAATATTTCCTTGGGTCTTTCTGACAAAAAGACAAAGTCACTTATAAGAAAAATAAATTATCACCTGAGTTTTATAGTGATTAGACTGACTACAGTCTTCCCATTGGCAGCAATGCAGTCCAGAATACAGTGAAAAAGTACTTTCAAATTGCTGTTAACCTAGAATTCTATATTCTGCTAAATTACTATTAAACAGGCCAAACTATTTATTTTCAGATACAGATTTTATTATTCATAGATAATATTCACTAGGTGTAAAAGAATATACTTCATTATGAAAGAAAATCAACCTGGGAATAGAAGAATGGAATACAAGAAAAGATAGTAAATAAAGAATCTGTTCAACATATTGTAAATTTTAAATAAGCACTGTTTCTTAAAAAGCAATAATTGGGATACGATTAACTCTGGGCTGTCACAAAAGTGTTATAAAAGTGTAGTGAAATTATTATCCTAGACAGCAAACAACATAGAAGACGATGAATGAGGGTAGAGATATCAGACGCAGAGAAAGGAAGATACACTGCTTTAGAATTTGGTGAGAATGCACGTTAAAATTTAAGTTTGCCTCCCAAAGAAAGGAATGAAATGTGTAAATTAAAAATAATCAGGGAAAGGGAGAATAAAGCACATTCAAATCAATAATGAAACTTCAATGAATCAAAAGAGGCAGTAAAAAAAGAAAATTGTGGCCTCTGATACTTTCAATTGGTCTTAGTTAAAACTATTTACAAAGACCATAAGTTTCTACTAAGAAACCCCTGCACATATGTGTAAGTAAATACCATTCTTTATAGCACTGATTATAATGCCAAAACATTTTAATCAACAATTTAAGGACTACCAACAGGCACAGATAAAACTTAACCCAGGGTGTCTACTCATTAGTGTTACTTAGTATTTTTTGAGGAAAAAAGGAATATATCTAAAATGTAGAGGATATTTATATACATAAAATATTTGTGTTCTCTGAAATACATTTTTTAAAAAATTATAAAAAATTTGTGTTGACTGTCTCATTTCTTCACAGAATCTAAGTTTTCATTATTCTTGTGTAGTACAGCACCCCCAGGTTTAAGAACATAGAGGTACTCAACATATTTTTATTTAATGAATAATTAAATGACACTCATGGTTATTGTGATAAAATGAATACTCTTAGGAAAATCTTAAAAATTTTCAAGAAGGCTTGGCACCCGTAGCGCAGTGGTTATGGTGCTGGCCACATGCACCGAGGCTGGCAGGTTCAAAGCTGGCCCAGGCCAGCTAAACAACAATGACAACTACAACAACAACAAAAAAAAATAGCTGGGTGCTGTGGTGGGCACCTGTAGTCCCAGCTACTTGGGAGGCTAAGGCAAGAGAATCACTTAAGCCCAAGAGTTTGAGGTTGCTGTGAGCTGTGATGCCACAGCACTTTACTGAAGGCGACATAGGGAGACGTTCTAAAAAAAAAAAACTTCCAAGAGTAATCTAAGAGGATCTAGATAAATCTGGATTACAGTTAATCCTCAGTAACTGTGGGGTGACTGGTTCCAGGACACCAACTCCAAACCCATGGATGCCAAAATCCATGGATGTTCAAGTTTCCCTTATATAAAATGGTGTCCTCTTTGCATATAGCCTATGCACATCTTTACATATATACTTTGTATCATCTCTAGTTACTTGTAATACTTAATGAAATGTAAGTGCTATGTAAATGGTTAGTACAGTTACATATTTTTATATTTAAAAAATTATTTCCAAATATTTTGATCTACAGTTGGTTGACCCAGTGGATGTGGAACCTCTCAATGAGAGGGCTAAATGTATTTCATTTTCCCATATTGTAACTGTTGGGAGTATGTAAATATTATCTACTACAACAGTGCTGGCTCTTAATTTTAGGTTTCTGATTCTTATGGGTTGATTTATGCTGAAGAGCCAGTTTAGTAATTTTAAATATCTTAATATCAATCATATAATATCTAAAATAAGTCTACACTAGCCAAATGTCAAGGATTATGTGTAAAATTATCAAACTTTCTGGTTTGACAAAAAATGGGAAAAGGAATAAATTATTGCTTAACAGATTCTTCTCATTGATCTTTTATTTTTTTTTGGCAGTTTTTGGCCAGGGCTGGTTTGAACCCGCCACCTCCAGCATATAGGGCCGGCGCCCTACTCCTTTTAGCCACAGGAGCCACCCGGTTTAACAGATTCTTTAAGTGTTTAAATATATTGGAAACACAGGGAAAATTACATGAAGATGCTTAAAATTATGGTGTAATAAAATATTTTAATAATTTTTAATGTGTAACAAGTTGTAACATAATATGTTTAAATGTCATTGGCATCAACAAAAGTCCTATTTTTTGAACTCCAAAACATTTCTGAATTTGGTATTCTGGCAAAAGCACTTCATAGCAATCTTTATCCAATCTTAAGGACAGTTTTATAAAAATTTTAATTTAGCAGATCTTTTATCTCCCATTTACATATTTACATCATTATCAATATCTTATTGTCTTCAGATAATAAGCTAAAAAGTACTGACCCCAGATACAGTGACATAAAACAAAAACTGAACTGGGGGGAAAATACAAAGAAAGTGATACTGAGAAGAAAAATGAAAAGAAGTTCTTTCAATACTGAGAGTTCGATAAGGTACTGAGACATACCAGAGCAGAAGCAGTAACACTTATTCACTATGTGCTAGGCTCTTAGTAGGTAATTTAAATAAATACTTCATTCTTCTTTAGTCCTCACAAAAAACCCCCTATGAGATAAACTACAAACAGGGCTGTCTTTCAAAGGTATTACCTAGGATATACTTTCATTTACCACTTTCCATAGTGACTTCCAATAATTATGTAAGTTTAAAATATTTTATATATGAAATATCATTTTAAAGACCGCAAAAAGCATATTAGAGGTTCCAAGAACCAAGGGCAAGACCTGTCTCTATAAAAAAACAGAAAAAAAATTAGCCAGGCATGGTGGTGTGTGCCGATGGTCCCAGCTGTCATGCACAAAGACTCCGTACCAAGACAACCTATTTAATTTGAATTTGGTATGTCCCAAACTAATTTACTATCACAGTGGCCTTTTGTCATTAAGCAATCGTTAATACTCAAGGAATATGTTCCATGGAATATAGCTGGGAAAAGTTAACTTATTCCAATGATTTTAAAATTGTTCAAAAGTATATTTGGAATTTATCTTCCTGGTAGTTAGTACATAAGCCACATTAAAACAATTTATTACTGTATGTTAAAAGACAATCTCTCAAATGTAGCTGTTAAGGCAAAGCAATATTGACTTTTTTATTATGGATTCATATAAGAGTATATACTGTTAGGTTACGTTATTTGTGTTTGTAAGGTAAAGTCCAAAGTTTGAGTTGTAGCTGAGTCCTTCACCCAGGAAGTGTGCCCTATTTACATTTGATACCCCATCAAAATGAACAGTTCTCTAATTAGACTCGCTATTCATCAGACTTGACTCTTAGAGACTTTATATGGTTCCAGAAATTAAATTTGCCCTTAGAAACAGGGCAATTTTCCTGCAAATGTGATACTTAAAGCTATGCCACTGGCTTTGACTGTAATAACAGACGAGTTTCAAAATGTCTTTAGCAATGGCAGGATCATTAAAAAATGTCTCGTAAGGTATTATTTTGAAAGGAATTAAGCATTTAACCAAATAAGTACTTACCACATGACAGGCACTATGTTAAGTTTTGTGAATAAAGATGAGTAAGACAAAGCCAGTAAATCTTTTGGGAGAGACAGGTTATTGAATAGGTAATTTAAAATATTTCTTAGAGGTTAAAATAAAATCATTCCTACTGGGAAGAAGGGAGGCACATAACCGAAAGGCTTAATTAACTGATAAGATGGCACATAAACTTTTATTTGAGTAAGGGACTGAGGTAAAAATGGGGGAGAAATAAGGCTGATGAGCACACAAAAAGGCATAAGTATTAACAAGGGTGTCACATCTGATATATGATGAGAAACTGGTGTACTAAGAGAAAACTGTGAATTTTGAGGTTAGAATGGGAACGTATCACTTTGGAAAAATTAAGAGGTTATGAAGAACTATGCATGCTGAGCAGACTATCCATGTGGTAATGAAGGATTTAGTCCTTGAAGTTCAAAAGCAGATTTTTTTTTATACAACAAACCGTCCCAATTATAAAACAAAGAAAGATTCAGCTTGCACATGACTCCTCCTGCCAGTCTTTCATGACATCCCTAGGCTTGTTATGTGTGTATGTTAATTCTACTGTGCCCCAAGTACATGTCTTTATGACACTGATCACACTGGATTATAATTTTGTATTTCTTATTCACTTGTCTATCTCTCTAATGCAGTGGTTCACAGTTCCTGTGGGTCACGACCCACAAGTTGAGAACCACTGCTCCAAAGAGTATGAACTCCTTAAGGTCAAGGACTGACTGTCCTACACGTCCAGCACTTAAACTAGTACCTGTTTAGATGGTCAAAGCTCAATAAACAGTATGCTTATAGTGAAAGAGATAACAGATACAAATTTTTCTGGATAAAGATAGAAGGGCTCAAGATAGAAGTTTTAAAGATATCAAATACTTAGCATATAGTTGGTAGCTGGAGTCATGGGAATAGATGTGCATTCTCACATAGAGTGAATAAGATTAGAAGAGGATCAAGGATAGTCCTAGGAACCTTGGATGTTTAATATTTTAGTAAAGAAGGAAGCCCTGTCATGTTAAGTTTCTTAAGAATCACAACCTGCCAAGTTATAATAATAAGATTGTTTTCATTATATTCCACCTATACACTGACATGAGATCTACAGCCTTTGTGGGAAACAGCACATCTGTTAAGTTTATTTCAAAGGTGGTGTTTTCTATATTGTATCAACATTTTCAAGGAAAAAAACCTCCAAGATGCATCTTTTCTGAATATGTGAAAGGTCATTGTCTGTTGTAAACATTGAAAGGATACGTGTTTCCTTGATTATGACATCTCTTGTGGCTTGGTGGAAAACCATCTGGTAGAAGACATAAATTATCTGACATACAAACTCATCATCTTCTTGCTGAGCTGAAAAGGAAATACAGACTTCATATGAAAGAACAGTATGTGTATGTACCAAATTGAAAAACAATGGAAAGTAATAGAGAATGAGAAAAACTAAAATGGACAAGGAGATAAGTAAGAAGACACTGAATTAACTTCTGTATTCCTAATGTAATATGGAAACAATTATCACCACTTGTTTTTTGTTTTGTCCATCATAAGAATTCTTTAAACCATTCTAATTTTTTTTCTTTTCTTTTTTTTCTTTCTTTCTTTCTTTTTTTTTTTTTTGTAGAGACAGAGTCTTACTTTGTCACCCTCGGTAGAGTGCCATGGTGTCACACAGCTCACAGCAACCTCCAACTCCTGGGCTTAGGCGATTTTCCTCCCTCAGTCTCCCAAGTAGCTGGGATCACAGGTGCCTGCCACAATGCCTGGCTATTTTTTGTTGCAGTTTGGCGGGGGACAGGTTTGAACCCGCCACCCTCGGTATATGGGGCTGGTGCCCTACCCACTGAGCCACAGGCACCACCCTAATTTTTTTTTGGACAGAGTCTCACTTTGTCATCATAGCTCACAGCAACCTCAAACTTGGCCTCAGGCAATTCTCTTGCTTCAGCCTCCCAAGTAGCTGGGACTACAGGCACCTGCCACGACACCCAGCTATTTTTAGAGATGGGTCTTGCTCTTGCTTAGGCTTTTCTTGAACCTATGAGCTCTGGCAATCCACCCACCTCGGCCTCCCAGATTGCTAGGATTACAGGCGTGAGCCACTATGCCCAGTCTCAAATCGTTTGACTTCACATGAAAAAAGAATTCTTAAGAAGGATCTAAGTTTTTGGAAATTAAACCATTATAAAAGGCATTTTCTTTTGTGAATAATGTTCACAAAATTAAACTTTGGCACTACTTTTTACATATTGGCATAAAATAATAAGTAGTTTAGTTTAAATCTAATCAATTATAATAGTAAAAAAGAATGCTATGTAATTATAAAAGCTAATTAATAAAAGCTTAATATCATACAGAGAGTAACAGAGTAGCTGATGCCCATATTTAATGGAAAAAGTGTAATTATTTATGGGAATCTAGTTTTAAGTAATAGTTACAAAATTTGATTTACTAATAGCATTGTTTACCATCAACTATAGGTAATAGTTCAATGACATGTTAGAAACAGATTTCTTTTCTTTTTCTTTTTTTTAAGAGACAGAGTCTTACTTTATCACCCTTGGTAGAGTGCAGTGGCATCACAGCTCACAGCAACCTCCAGCTCTTGGGCTTAGGTGATTCTCTTGCCACAGCCTCCCACGTAGCTGGGACTACAGGCGCCCGCCACAATGCCCAGCTATGTTTTTGTTGCAGTTTAACTGGGGCTGGGTACAAACCTGCCACCCTTGGTATATGGGGCTGGTGCCCTACTCACTGAGCTACAGGTGCCGCCCTGAAAACAGATTTTTTTAATAGGTCAATAGTTGTTTAGAATAAATTGTGGGCCTCTTTAAAGTCCAACATGACTCAAATGATTTTTTATTATTAATTTGTTGAAAATGAATTGGGCTGAAATTCTCACTTACTCTCTTGGCATATAGTATTCTCTCACTTAACCCCAAGGGTTTTAATCTTACTTCTTAAAAAGAGTATTATGTAGACTCTGTGATGATCTCATGTCACAGCACATAAAAACGTGGTAAACCAATCTGAGCTAGCTCTCTCTTTACAAATATATCAGCTTCCTCAATTAAAATCCCTATGGGACAGCAATTCCAGGAAGCAGGTCATTTTGCTTCAACTTTCTCCAGCTCTTCACAAAATCTTCATTCCCACTCTGTCAACTATACTATCTTCATTTTCACCTCCCAACTACCTAGTTTCTCTTTTAATTATTTCTAATCTGAAAACATCTGGCTCTGAGACTGGTATATCAAGGTTAAAAATATATATCCAAATAACTTTTGAGAAGGAATACTTTAAATGTAGGGGCATTATCTCTGTATAACCTATTTTTAAAATGTAGTACCTTAAAGAATGGGACATAAGTTTTAAAAAACTGTCAGAGTAAAATGTGCACAGGATAAATAGGCACATCATTTCATTGGCCATATCTAATAGTCAAGAAATACAAGTAGGTATTCAACTTCATCAGTCATCAGGGAGATGTAAATGAAAACCACCATGAGATGCCAGCATGAAGGCTACTATTAAAGGGACTGATAATGCCCAGAGTTGGTGTGATGTAGAACAACTATTAACATTGCTGGAAGGGCTGAAAAGGGGCAGGACTTTAAAAAATAGAATATTATCATCCATTAAGGCCAAACACATGCAAACTCTGTGACCCAGCAAATTCTACTCCTAGGTCTGTATCAGAAATGAGTACATACAATTACCAAGTGAAAGGTTTAAAAATGTTCATAGGCGCATAATTTATAATAGTCCTCCTCCCTCCCCAAATCTAACCCTACTACCATCAATAGTAGAAAAAATAGTGATATATTGATACAATGGACTTATTATATACAACAATGAAAATGAACAAACTTCTGTATATAATATAGATAAATCCCACAAATATGAAGTTCAAAACCAACCACAATTAATATGTTAGTGACAAAAGAAAAGATAAAAACCATTTTTCAGGTGGTGATAATGACTGGGAGGAGGAAGAAGAGTACTTCTAGGGTGCTGGTACTCTTTTATTTCTTATGTGGGTAATGATAACTTGTGTTCACTTTGAAAATTCATTGAGCTATACAATTTAAATCAATGTATGTTTCCTTAAGTATGTTAACATACCAAAAGTGTATTAAAATTTTATTTTATTATTATTATTTTGTTTTTATAGAAATAGAGTCTCACTTTATCGCCCTCAGTTGAGTGCCGTAGCGTCACAGCTCACAGCAATCTCCAACTCCCGAGCTTGGGTGATTCTCTTGCCTCAGCCTCCGAAGTAGCTAGGACTACAGGCACCTGCCACAATGCCCAGCTATTTTTTTGTTGCAGTTCGGCCAGAGCTAGATTTGAACCAGTCACCCTCGGTATATGGGTTTGGCACCTTACCGACTGAGCCACAAGCGCCTTCCAAGTCTATTAAAATTAATATAAAATGCATATACATTATGCCTAGCACAATAAAGACTCAGATAAAAGTACCTTCTTTAGCCATATCATACATTTTTAACTTTTATACTATTAGCTACTTTTAATAATAAAAGTTGGATTTAGATAAATTTTGTGTGTAATATAGAGAAAAAAATGAGCCTCAGCACCATATGGGTAATACAAATCTAAGGGGAAGATGCTGCACTGTCCTCCTTAGCAATAAGCCAAGGTAGTTAATTAAAATTAGAGTAGATTTAAAATTCAGGTTCTCAGTCCTGACAGCCACATAGAACAAAATGATCTATATCTGCAGTGTATTGGGCAGATATAGGGACATAAGTTTTAAAAAACTGTCAGAGTAAAATGTGCACAGGATAAATAGGCACATCAAAAATATATAAATATTTTTAAATATAAAAATATATATAAATATTT